GAAAAACGACCTGCAGTTAAGTATAGTCCTTAAAAAAAAGTGACTCAAGACTGAAAAACACAGTAGCATCATCTTTAGAAACGAAATCAGAAGGGAAGGGGGGTCCAAAAGCAACAGTGAAGTAGGATGACTGGATGAAGGCAACAAAAAACATAAGGTTTCATGCTTAATTGTACTATGTCAAAAATCTACAGACTAAAATATGGGTATAATTTTTAAGCTGGCTTTCTGTATAAAGTTAAAAAACCCCTACTGTAGTAAAATGCAGTCGACGGACTAGACTATTGCACTAGCTGCAGACCTCTGGTACCTGGGATCCGCCTTCAGCCACAGCTGAAGATTTATTCACCTTTTCTGGTCTTTCTCTTGATGTAGYAAAAGTATCACAGTTGCTAGCAACTAAGTCTGACTTTTCTGCATTACGTAATTTAGGACTGTACTGGGTTTAAGTAATTCAGGACTGTCCTGGCACTGCCTACRGGGCATGGGCACAAGTACCTGGCAAAGCTCATCTTCACAACAGAAGCAAATTCATGGCTGTTTGCACTCTTATTAATCATACAAAATACTTGMAACTTCGTATATAATTAAAAAAAGGCCCTTCTAAGCACATGCTTCATGGTTTTTTCCCAGTTCCCACCGATTCCAGCTTGCCCTCACRGCTGCAAGTGCAAAGCTGCTCTGTGTCCTGCGGCATGACCTGCAGCTTGGGCAGGGAAGGGGCTCCCTGGGCTCGCAGCCGCAGGGACCAGCCCAAGGAAAGAGGCGGTTTCCTCCTCGGAGCGCTGGGGACGAGGCTGCTAATCCTGCCCCACAGCGGCGTTCCCGTAACACGAGCAGCACCTGAGATGCTCATGGGAGCCCAGAGCGGGAGCRGGAGCTGCTCCTTCAGCCGAGCAAACCAAACTGGTATTTCCACTGCCCGTAACCCTGGAACCGGCAGGACACAAAGGGATATCCTGTCCAGGAAGCAAYGCGCTCCCGTCTGTATTGCCTTTGCTGGCTTTAAAATCCTCCCCCCGTATTTTCACATGAAGCCTTTGAAGTGCCGCAAATTGGAAGATTTATGAGGAGGGAAGRCAAACCAAACCCTGCCATTCTGAAGCCATTTCGGATCCCTTTTCCCACTGCTACAAACACTGTCTTCATGCTTCAAGAGTGGGGAAAAAGACCTCCTAAACTGAGGATACAAAGTCAGGTGTGAACATTTCAGAAACACAGTATTAAGTTGTCAGTATCTGCAAAGCAGCTTAGAGTTGAAATTAAAAAAGGAAAATAAGCACTTGCAAAGAGAAGCTCTCAATGTTTTGTTTGCTCTCGGGCTACTTATAAAGTCCATCTAGCTAAAGCGCAGGAATGAAAGGGCCCACCCTGGAAGCGATCCCTTTGATAAGGATCAACCCCCAGATCAGCATGATTCTCATCAGATTCCCCACAGA